TGATAGTTTCATTAGAAGGGGAATGTAAATAAAATGTGTGAGAAAAATATATTAATGTTTGTAAAATACTTTATGAGCCCCAGCTGAAAGGCAGTATATAAGCACAAGCATTATTATGGGAAATCAATGAATAAAGTAATAAACCAAATTGAATAAAAAATGAAACAAAACCCAAAAAAGTGCAACACTCTGCATGTAAACTCCATAAAATATATATTAACCTCAAATAATAACAGTCCATTTTCGGGAGTTGCTGGTTTTGGTATTTTTTTTTTTTTAATTAATTAAGTCTTTTTCATTTACCAAAGTTCAAACAATTAATCACAGGCCTATGTAATCAAAAGTAGAGTTTACTTCTTATTACCTATTCACATTGCAATCCCAGCATTTGAGATGATTACACACTATATATAAACACACCTACTATGTAATCACTTTAAGTGCTCCAAGCAGTGTATAGGTAGCTCCAAATGAACACTGTATGTGCAGCACAAAGCATTAATAGCATTCCAGGGGATGTCACATCATGAGAAACTCTAATCTGTTCCTGAAATGAATTTGACTTATTCATTAGTGAGATGAAGAAAGCTGATTACAGTGAACTATTTTCTTTTAACATCAAATAAGGGATAATCTTACCCTCAAGATTTGGGTTTTAAAGAAGAGGATGTTTTTAAAGCAGCTGCAACTGGTGAATCACACTTCAACCACGTAGCACTATTTTTGTTGGGTTTATTTCATCCATCCATTTTAAAATGACCTTTCCCGCTCCACAGCAAATGAACAGGGATTTCCTATTTGCACAAGGGAAGTTGTTTCTCTGGTACATGTACAGCACTCTTTGGATATTTAAAGAAGCTATAGAGATGAAGAAGAGTTTAACTGCAGAATTTTTTTAGTTGGAATATTGATGACTACTTCAGGCCAACAGGGTTTGAAGGGAAATGTAGAAGATCATAGCTTAATATGAGGAAATTCATCATAAAAAAGGCAGCCCGACAGTCAACATTTGCTTGTTCATGAATGTTTACAGGATATACAAAAATACATAATAATGCAAATAGAAATGCTGTGAACAGCCTGTTCTTTTCCTTTCATAGCCAGGTTATTCAAATTTGCATTTTGTCTAATGCTAATCTCAGCTGTGGCTGGAAACAGCTCCAGATGCAGCAGCAACTTAAGAAGGACATCAGGAGGGGGTCATTGAGGTAGTTTATGAAATGAATTAATGAGAGTTAATAGTGTATTCCACATTTACAAGTCCTTTCATCTAAGGCTCTTGGAGTAATTAATAAGCATTGCTGCACTGCTGCAAGAGAAGAAACAGTTGCTGCCTAAAATTCTCAGGGGTGTGTGAGTCCTCCTGACTTACACACAGTGTAGTGACTCGGCATCTAACACCCAGGTCACCTTAGAAGACTTCAACACCTGAATTTTGATGGATTTGTAAGTATTTAGATGCTTTCAATGCCTCCCAGTTTTCTTTATTAAAGAAGATACAGGCACAGAGAGCTCGGTTCTGTTCTCTCACCCAGCTGGGAGCTGTTGGCACCAACAAAGCTTAAAACCATGGTGTGCTGAATGTCTTCATAAAATAATGAGTAGGAAATGGAGACACCATGTACCTGCAGCATCTGACAGGATTTATGGGGTCAGAATTAAGCCCCGAAATAGGACATATGGGAAGTCATGTAAGTGTGGCAGAGAATCAAGACTATAACCCTGCCTATGCTTTTACCACAAAACTACCTTCCTGCAGTCACAGATCATTAAAGTCCAGAGTAGGGCTTGGAGAAAGAACCAAAACCAATTAGCTTTTAAGGATAGGTGAAGAAACCAAATGAAATGTTTGGGCTATCTAGGCATTTTCATGCAGAGAAACAACATTCCTTGGAATACCTGACCATGTGAAAAGCCAAAAATATTAAAGCAAAGTAACTGGTATTCTCAAGAAATAATACTGTTTGCATCGATATTGTAAAAGGAAGTGGGAAAAGGAGAAAAAGCCAGAATTGTTTCCTTTGTTTTCTAACCTTAACTGCAAAATAAATCAACTACAAAACATCAGAGAAATTGTGTTATTTTGATGCAGAGAGGCTCTGACAAACTATTTTACTTTCTTTTGTTTTGTTGCTTCTCAGATACTTCCTGGAGAACTGTCAGAACTGTCACGAGGTGGTATTTTGCCCTCTGGTATGGGAAGAAACAGGTCAGTTGTACGTGTTCATCAAAGAAAGTTTAAAGATATTTTCTTTTAAATGAGAATTCACCCATAAGCCCCAGTGGCTGTGGCCTAAAACAAAGGCAGTGCCTCCAGGAGGGAGCCTGGAAAAGAAGAGAGGACTGCTGATATTTGGTGAAGGGAAAAAGAAGTGAGGCAGACATGGAGCACAGTTGTACATCTGTGTGGGAGCACTGCCCAAACTCAGGCTGGTTACAGAGCTGTCAGGATGAGGTTCAAGAGCCATTGGCAATCCAGGAGGGGCTGGTGGAGCAAAGGGGACGAGGCAGAAGCAGCAGACACTTCACAACACAAGCTCTGCAGCCTTTATATAGTTTTACTGGTGAACTCTCCAAATTTAAGTCCTGATCTCGCTGACATTTGTAGCTCAGTGGTTAGGACTCCATGTATGTTTTAGGACAGTAGGTAGTTGGCACATAAAACAAAGGATGGGGATGTTTTGCCATGTTAGATCTGAGTGGTCATTTCATCACAAGTCCTAAAGCAGCAGCTGTTACAACTCTCACTTGAGGGTGGGTTCCTTCAACAAACCTATCACTGCAGGGAAGACAAGGATTGTCTCCTGAGTGGAGCAGAATGGTCATTCAAGGGGCTGTGTCCTGAGACTGTGCAGAACTTGGTCTGGATCACCACTTTTTGGGTAAAATTTATACAAGGTATCACAGTCTCTCAAGGAATGCAGTGAATTGTGGGAGCACTGGTGTTTTCTCAGCTGCTGGGAATAGGCAGAGGGGGCTGTGCTGTCTCTGGAAGCTTCCAGATGCCTGGGTTGCTTTAAGGGAAATATAGTAAGACGTCTTGGCAGTACTTGGTGTTGGGCACTGATGCAGAGTACAACTTATCAGAACTGATGGGTTTATGGTTTCAAATAGTTCACTGGGATGCAATTTGGCTGGTTCAACAGATCCTGGCTCAGGACTTCACTGTGTTACATCATGTTTGCACCAGTTCCTACTCCTTGGCATTCAGCTGTAGTTTCTGCCCTCTATACAGTAAAGGATAGCAGAGACTGTGAAGATTTAGGTGGTGATGAATCAGCATCACTGTCTGGAAGACTGAAAGTTGGTGACCACTGCCTCAAATGGGATAGTCTCTTCAAGAGAGCGAGACTGGTTGTCAGCCATCTTCACATTTAGGTAGAAGGTCAGATCTGGACTGTCATTTGTCCTTTAGGTTAGAGCAGAGATGACCCATGCACTGCTCAAGAAGAAGTGTGGGGTGAGGGGTTTGGTACTTCAGCATGTCCTGATTTGTCTGGTTGTGAGTCTGAATACCTGATTCTGACATAGGTGTTGGTGCATTTCTTTATGATCCCTTGTGATAATCTATAAATGAGCATAAAATCATCTTGATCTGTTTTAGCTGTCAAGTAAAAGAATTGGAATTAAGTGTCTTAGCTAACACCTCTTCTGGACTTGATTTATGCAGAGAACACAATCCAAAGTGATTGAATACAATGGCATTAATTTATTCACCTGGTGTTAGAACCTAGTCCGAGACCCTCAATTAACTTTCAATCAGTGTCAGTGAACAATGGGGAAATACGCTGTGATTTCTTAAACTAAGATGCTATTTGTCTGCATGCTCCTTTAGACTTGAAGAATGTTAAAGCTTAAAAACCTCCCAGGAATCTGTGCTTAATATCTCTAAGTCAACTGCACACTCATCCTTTTGAGGAAAGGCAGTTTTACAGGTAAAACAGAAAAGTTTCTACGAAGTATCAAGCTTCCTTTTCAATACACTCTGCCTAGTGCTTGTTTTCCCAACAGAGTGTAAAAGAAGGTGTTCTTATTTGATAATATTTGGATTAGACTTTTAGTGAATCATAGTACTATAGCACAGGTGGTTTTTTTTCTTTTATAATTCCCAGTTACTTTGTGATGTTGACACAGCTCCATCTAATCTGAATTCCTCTAAGATACACAAAGTCTTCTCTCAGGACTCTGTGTTTCCAGCACTTGCTGCTCTCCTGGTGCTGTTTTCCCAGTCGAAGTGGAGCAGAGAGCAGAACAGCCAGGCTCTCTCTTGCTGCAAGGCAGAACTGAACGGTAAAGTCCCATCTGTGGGCTGCAGGAAAAGAACAGGCTTTACCTGGAAGCTCATTCTTCAGGCTCTTCCCTACCAGTACGACTGGAGAGCTGTCACTAGTGTGGCACTGCCTAGTGTACATCTGAAAGGTGATCGTATACTGTATTTCTCTCTTCTTTTTTTTTCAGGTGAGACCCACTCCAAGGCAATGAACTCCCTCTGTTCTTTCACTTCTCTGCGTTTGCCAGTAGATGGTGGTAGCAGTTGCTCTATTGACGCCGGTGCCATACGGCGCTGAGGTTTGAAGAAAGCGGTGTTTTATAACAGCAGCAAGAATTACTTCTCTTTGTGAATCTATATTCTGTCAAAGAATGTCCGTTAGGCCTCGCTGAAGTGCTGTCACTGTCGTTTAAGCTGAAGGTCCTCTGCAGCAGCAGCTCCACCAAGGGGCTCTCACCTCATCAACAGCCGAGCGCCAGATTAGCAGAGAAGCTGCTGAGACAAAAGATGCTCGGTAAATACAGCGAGGGTCAGCCACAGAAGGCTGGCGTTAGATGTTCCAGAAACAAGGCTTCAGGGCGCGGGGAAGAGGTGTAAACTCTTACGAGGAGCGACTGCTGCCCCCGCGAACCCGTGCGCTCGGCAGAGCGGGAGTTGGGGTGCGGGGCTCGGCGGCTCCCGCGCTGCCCTTTGGCTGTGGTGGAGCTCGGGCGAGGGGGATCCACTTCAGTCAAAGCTGCAGGGCAGGAGCCTGCTGGTCGTCAAGCTGCCTGTCAATAGGTGGTGTGTTTGGGAAGCCTAAAATCTCTCCCATGGATCACTAAACTCCAAACTGGCTGAGACAGGACCGTTCTGGGACGTGCTAGGAAGGTGCTCAGCCAGGTCCTGACAGTCAAGTCTCCTCAGCTGCAAGGTCCTAAACCAAACAGAGGATGCAAAGGCCAAGCCACTCTGTCCCCAAAATCCCAGAGCCACATGATTCCCCTGGCTGGGTGGGGAGGGATGAAGGTGGTGTGACACAGTGCCTGCCTGGGGCACCCACAGGTCTGGCTCTGAGGGATGGGCACCCAACAAAGGCAGGCTGCAGGGAGGGGGAGAGGGGGCTGAGGAGGTGATCACCTAAGATTGACTTTTCTTCTAATAACCAGGTCTCATTTTTAAGCAGTAGGTCTGCACTAGTGTGTGTTCCCTAGCCTGGTGTGATATTATTTTGGTGTACACTGAAGCAGTGCACATATAAATGGAGCATATAAATGCATATGAATTTCCTAAGCATAGTAAAGGAATTGGGCCTTTGGAGGCCTTCTGAGCTCAGCAGAAATGGTAGGAAAAAATGTTACAGCCATTTTAAGGGTGAAGTTTCAAATCTTAGATTGAGAGTTAGGTGGGGAGCAAGTTTTCCTAGCCTCAGTTTTAGCATCTAAATTTAAATTATGCATTTTCCTTTTCTTCCTGTAGGATAACCACAGCTCTAGTCTCCAACTAATCTGAGAATTTTCAGCAACTGTATCTCCATGAAAACCTGAAAATGTAGTATCTGCAGTTTGGTGGCTTGATTTTTCAGCCTGCACTGCATCCAGCAGTTCTCTGGCATTTCTGGAATTACTGGCTGCTTGGCTTTATATCAGCCTTCTCATTTACATTTCTCAAGTGTGAATTTAAGGATCTGAGTTTTAGACACAAATTTTTGCTTTGAAAATTGTGGTCAGCAACTGTATAGACTTAAAAAAAAAAATATCCTGCCAAGGGATCTCTCCTCCTGTGTTTTAACCCTGGCAAGTTTTTAATTTCTCTTTCCTCCCCGCCCAAGGGAAAAGATTCACCTAAGCTACAAAGCATTAGGAAACTGTCAGATCAGATGCATGATATGTATAATTAACGATGTAGAACAAAGCGATAAACCCTGCCCTGAAAAGCCTAAATCTTTTCTTTTTTGAAGTTGCCTCCTGCTTTCACCCTTCCAGTTCCCATAGGACTGTGTAATATTTAGATGAAATCAGTTACTTCAGGGCAAGAAAACAGTGCCAGTGTTTCAGTTTTCATCTGAGCAGGAACCTTTTGGAGCCTGTGAAAGAAGCCCTGCTGGTCCTTGGCTCTCCTTTGGCCCTGTGATCTGACAGGTACAACAGCAAATGTGGACACTTCTGTTTTCTTGATGGATTGCTGAGAAAGCAAATTATATTTCTTGTGTCTACCTGAAAGCCATATTAGAACCCTTCGTGTTTAATTAGCAAGGTAATATAGAGAATCAGGATACAGACTTTGCGGAGTTGGTGATTATATGTATTTATTTTTCTTTTTATTTTTAGCAAATCTTAGTTTTTGGAAATTATTGTTCACTGAGTTGCTTTGGTAGGCAAAGGGAAGACTTTTTGATTCTTGTGGAGAGCTAGAAAAGATCCCATTTGAGGGTCAGTTGGCACTGACTCAGCTTCTCCAACTGTAGGAAAAAGTACCACTGGAACTTTATTGTTTTTTGGCTTCCTGCAATTCTTAGCAGCTTGCAATAAAATATAGTAAAAAAAGGGGAAATCACTTATGCATAAAAAAAATACCACAAAGAAACTTGAACAATACCCATCAGAATAATGACTTGAAAATTGCCACTCAAGGAGTCAGGGTACCAAGCTCCATATGGGGAATCTTAAACTTGAAATGGTCTCTATGTGCCCGATAGTTTCATTCATACAACCCAGAGGTGCCTGGAAGACAGCCTGGGTGCAATCATGAAGATTCAAATGGAGGAGAAAGACACAGGTTAAGGCCTGATAAAGGAAGGAACATACAATCCATGGGTTGAAATCCAGTAAAAAGTGCTGTACTAAAGCCTGTTAAGCCTTTGGTAGTTGTATTGTGGGCCCTCATTGAATGGCAGAGTGCTGGAGGCTGAAGGCATCTCTGGAGGTCACCTTCTCCAACCCTCCCTCACCTCCAGGTGGCTTTTGAGTATCTCCAAGGGCGGAGACTCAACAGCGCTCCGGTGAAACGTTCTGAGCCAGGTGACAACCCTATGCTGAAGAAATCCTGGCCTTCTGCTGACATGGGAGCTGCCTTGGGAATCTGGTTAGTGGTGATCGAGGGCATGGCCTGGGCACAGCTCTCTGGCACAGAAATTCAGCTGGTACTTCATCTTTATTTCACACACCAGTATAGCAGATGAGGAAAGTAATTGTAAACTCTTTTCATGCAGGGCTTGTCTTCCCTCCTTGATGCCACCAGTTTGTATCATACAGGTTCAGTTTGAAATGACTTTTAAGATGTGCCAGGTAGGAACTGTTTAGAGGAATAAAATAAAGAAATCACAGTGATGCTCTTGATCTCCTTCAGGCAACAGAACATCTTGACTTGTGTCTCTTAGGGAGAACTGGAAAGTTTAAGAACTAAATTTTCAAATGAATAGTTTGACTTTTACTTTTGGCTTGGATACTAATGTATGCATTACATGTATGCCAAGTGTTCTGCATGTCAAAATATCACCAGTAATCTTGGGAAAGAGGAGGCCTTTTCAGAGAAGGACCCCAGGGAGTCAGTTGTCGTTCGAAAGTTCTGTATTTCAGCGGTGCTGGATATGATATGGAAGGCCAGTGATGGCAGAGGGTGTCTGGACCACAGGGCTCAAACTCCTGGAAGAAGCACCACCATCCATTCTGTGAGGTATGACTGGCAAAATCCCTGACCTCGCCAGAGATCTGCAGTGAGTTCTGTAAAGCAGATGCAGTTGGCATTGCTTCTGCTCTCACATGACCTGATTGCATGGTGAAGGCTGACTTATGGTTAAGTGGAAAACAGGTGCTGAACGGTGCTTGATGTCATTTATTATTTGCTGACTTTGCTGTTTTGTGTTTCTGTTGGTTCTAGATGTACAAAGTGGGGCATGTGAGCCAAAGGGAACATTTCCTGATGTGTTGTGCAAGGACAGTGGAGAAGTCAAGGAAAGTTCATTCTACTCTTAAAATCTCAGTTCTTTTGAAATCCAGGCAGGTTTTGCTGACCTGCTGTGTGTAATCTCAATATCTACTCTGCCATTAAAGCATTGATTTGTTCTTTCTTCTGTGCTAAAATTACACTGTTCCATGAAAACTGCCATCACTTCTGGAGAAGACTGTATCTAGTCTTCTACATCTTTATAAGTGGGCATTCATGGCATAAAATGACTTCAGTGTAAGATAAACAGGAATGCTTGAAACAAACACCTGCTTTCACAGGCTGTTACTAGAGCTGGGATACCGAGAGCCTGGATTTATTGGTGACCCAGCAGACATTTTTCACCTGTTTTTGGAGGCAAATGTGCAATAGAGTTTTATTTCCACCAGAATGTAGGTTATTAATTTATGGGAAATAAAGGCAGAGTGAGGACTGGGACAAACACTTTTTTAATGGCTCTAATTCTGTCATCTAAAAATAATACTTCCAGGTTCTTTCTGTAGCCTATTGCCTTTAGTTCTTTCTTGAATGAGTTAGTAATTTTTAGTTCTTTCTTGAATGAGTTAGTAATTTTTTTCTGTGTTTGATACAGCTACATTTTCACTATAATTCTGTACATGAAAAAGTAGTTAGAAACATCTGCTCCAAGCTTATTTTTTATTTAACTAACAATTAAATTCCCTTTTTTTTTTTTTGCAGTGCACATAGCAACTCGAGTTGACCTCATTTATCCTCTTCAAAAACGTAAGTACTTTAATTACACCACTGCCTTCCTCCTCAGATAATTTTAAAATGATGGAATTTCAATTTGTATAGTCTCTCATCTTATTGTATATATTTTTAATCTGAAGTTCCAGCTTATTACCATCTGTACCACTTCACAGTTCTACAGGATACTATTAGACAGCCAGGTTATGAGGACAGACCTGAGCAGACAGATTTCAATTTCCTTACCCTTACAAACAGGGCTCCAGGTACCAGGGAGACCTATTCCTCCTCACTCCTTCAGACTTTTAAGTCTTTTATAATTGGCACTTCATCCTTATTTCACACACCAGTATAGCAGATGAGGAGAGTAATTGTAAGCTCTTTCCATGCAGGGCTTGTCTTCCCTCCTTGACGTCACCAGTTTGTATCATACACCAGTTTATGGTCAGAGCTGGACAATGTGCAAAACAACAGTTTTCCACTGAAATAAAATAAAATTCTTGGCTTGGTTGAGAGTGGAGCTGTAGGCACCCCTGATAAGATGTTTAGTGCAATGTAATCTTACCCTTCAGTCTTTGAGAGCAGCCTGTTTTGTTGCAGATCAGTCAAAATACTTTGTGTGCAAGTGACCTTTTTGCTTAAACAAGGAAAAGGGATCGTATATGTTTGTTTCAGATTGAACTGATTTATTTTTTGGTTCAGTTTTTGAAGGTGGTGGTGTTGAGGTATACCCTGTGGTACTGAGGGCAAAATATTAAGCAGTGCAGTTAAAAAAGGTTACCCTGAAGTTCCAATTCATGCCTAATAGACGTGGATTGGTATCAAATCCTGACTGGACACTTTCCTAGTGACCTTCTGAGCCATTAATTCTGTGTGCTGTGGGCATATAGGGGTTTCCTAATGTGTGAGGATCTGGCTTGGTATCTTTGTGTATTTTTAGGTGCACAATGAAATTAGAGATCTAACAAAAGAGCAGGAGAATGTGTTTTTGAACATCAGAAAATACAGTCTCAGTAGCAAGTCCTGATGGGACTATTTATTTATGTACAGTTAAGGTCTGCAGCCTCTATCTGTTATGTGGTGATTGCCTGGAGGGAAAAAAATATGTATTTATCCATAATGAAGTAGTGCACAGTTCATACAAACAGATATGCTGGAAATTAAACCAGGAAAGGAAAGTATTTCTTTGTGCTATTCTCAGTGGTGTGCTGGGAATATATAGGGTTTCCTAAATTATAACTCTGCATCTCCAGTAGGTCCATTATTAGATGATTCATGTCAAACTTCCCTGGCTGTGCAAATACCCCGGATGTGTCATTACAAATGCAGTGTCAGTGAAATTATTTTGATAAAGCAACACAGTTTTATGTCGTGTTTCTATCAATTTATTTTCTGTATAAATAATATAGAAAGCATTGTTTTCTTTAATATCACTTTCTCTTTTTTTGGTCAGCTTCCTCTTTCACACAAACAACCAAGCCAGTAACCAAAATAAAAAAAAAATTCTCTTTTCTCGTGAGCACTAATTAGTTACTGTACAGTACCTTCAGCAGCAGATTTTGGTAGAAGGAAAGTAGATGATACATTTTCCTGAAGAATGTTTATTTCTCAGCCTGATTTTTTTTCATTTAAGATAAATAAGTTTAAAATGTTTAATTTCTGTTCTTTTGCCCAGTATTGATTTAAGAAAAGAAAGCTTTGTGACAAAACAAATGCAAATGTCTGGGGAAAAAAAAAAAAGTATCATTTTAGCCAAGTGGCTAAAATGCATTAACAAGTGATAAATGCAGAGATTTTTTATCTTTCCCTCACCCCCCACCCCCTCATCACAATTAACTACAGCAAAGGAGATTTTGTAATGTGAATATATTCACTGACAACTGAGTGGAGGTAAACTCTTTTTTTCCCTAAACTTAATTTCTGTCCTGCTTTCATTTTTTTCCATTTTAATGTAGAATTAGAATGGAACAATCACAAAAACACCCACGACTGCCTGTAGCTCTCTAGCTCCCTCTCAGAACACCACCACAGGACATCAGAAGGACAAAGTGAAATATTTTTAGATGTGGTATTTCTGTATCTTACTAGAATACAATGAAAGTACGATTTCTGATGAAGGTAATGCAGAGTTTATGTTTGAGCATACTCATGTGCATATTATCTATTTCCCCAATATGATGGAAAAAACCAGAACAATCAATTTAGTAAACTTTTTTTTTTACATAGAATCAGAGAGAGGTTTGGGTTGAAAGGGATCTTAAAGATCATCTGGTTCCAGTCCCACTGCCATGAATAGGGAAATTTCTTTATGTTAATAGTGGCAGTCAGAAATCACCCACTTAACTGTAGACAGGACTAACATTAAGTAATAATAATAATAAGCCAAAGAATTTATCATAGATCTATAAGGAGCTACAAAAAAGCAGACACTAAACCTGGAAGTTTGAGGAAATGTTTTCTTTTACACACTTTCTTTTTCTTTTGCCACATACAATAATCCTAGCATCTTTCAATAGGCTATTCAGCTATTTCCTTTATCAGCAACAGTGCTACACTCTAATATGTTTAGAATTTTCCAAGATACCTTGCAGTTTAACATTTATAGATAGACTAAGCTGAAAGGACTCCCCCTACCCCGTCTCCCAGCACAGGATGAAGAAGAAAGTAGAAAACAGGAAGAAAAAAAATCAAATATTCGAAGTGCAGTAAGCTTTAAATCCACAGATATATAATATCAGTCACCAGAAGCTATCAGAAGTCCTTACTTGTGTATGAAAATAAGATAAGGAACTGTTCTGTTTCTCCTTTAATGTTTTAAGTTTGCAGAACTGGGAAGAGGAGTTTTTAATCCTGAAACACAAGATTTGTATCAACAGTTCTGTGCAGCTGTTTCCTTTCAGATTCTGGCTGCAGGAAGCTCTTGCTCTCACAAGTCTACATGAAAAACTCCAGGTAGGATAATCCAGATTTAGTGAACATTCTGCAAAACTGATAGCAGTATGGACTCCATTCTTTCTCTGCAGGGCACAGTTGTGCTGTTAGTTGTCACTGATGAGGTGCTTTGTTAGCACACAGAAGCTCTTACCTTAAAAACAGCCTTCTTAAACAACAGACCTTTTCTTTAGAAAATAACTGTTCCATGGATGTTTTTGCACAGCCATCACTCCTGCACTGGAGCAGATGTGGAAATGTTCGTAAGCTCAGTGAAAAGCTACTTTAAAATCAGTCCTGGTTCACAGATGCTGTAAACATCTATTTTCATCAGTTAAAAAACATGGTAGCTTTTCCTAAAGCAGTGTCTGGGATGATTTTGTTTTGATTGTTCAACACTATTGGTGCTGAAAATAGGTGTGTCAGCATTTGAAAGATGGTCCTCAGGCACTGAGGTTTTTTTTAATAGCAAGCAAAATTCTCATTAAGGGGCAATTTTAAAAAGCAATAACATTCATTTTTTGGGCTGTTAAGCATATAGAGTGTTTATATTTCCAGCAAAGAATGAATTAATGGAAAATAAATTTCTGTCATGCACTAGTGCCACAGCATTGCAACATAATGTATGTGAGGCTGATTGCAAGTCAGCCTTTCAACAGGATTATACATGATCAAAGCTTCTGGAGTGAGAACTATGTAACTTAAATGATTGAAAACAATTTTAATGTTTGTCTTCTCTCTTTTTCTTTTAAATCAAAGCTTGTTTCTTGTTAATGATGTGTTAAACTTAAAAAACCCACAGCTCTCAGTCTCTGTATCTCCCTAATTACAGGCAGACGTGTTTGGTGTCACATCCCTTCAACACACAGACAGCTCAGGTTCTTTGCCTTAGGTGCCTGCTGCTGGTAGGATTGACTGCACTGGCCTGAAAATATCTGCCTCTTTTGATGTTTGAGTTACAGGTCAGTGCCAGGTCCCAGCAAGGCAAGATGCTGTTCTTTGAAGGAAAGTGCCAGCAGATAGGACAGGACTTCCCACACCCTACAGGAGGCTGTGTGTCCACCAAGGAGGGTTGAACTCATTCACAAGGACCCGACTTTCCACGCTCACCTTCCGCAATCCCTGACTCTTCTGAGAGTGTGATAATTCACTCTGGAAGGCCTGGTCCCTGAAGTAGTTATCCATCACTATCAGCACAACTTAAACCATCAAACAACTCCCACAGGACTCTTTCAGATGTTAGTTTAGTGATTTTAAGTCACTAAGAAGTCTTGTGAATTTTTAGGTCCGTTGGCACAATGCCAAAGTCTAAGAAAAAATCTATATTTTGAAAAAAACCCTATTAATAATGAGATAATACTGAACCTCTTATTTATTAAATATTTATCATTATCCAGAAATGACCCGTGAAATCAGGAGCAGGTTGATTTTCAAACAGAACTCATGAGAACAATCTCTCTCTTGGTAGGACTTAGTAGAACTTTGCTATCACTGTAGCAACGTTCAGGATCTAGTAACTAGGAAGGCCTGGTACACCATGGGGGTTCATGCTCTAAGCAAACCCAGGGGGCTTCAGAGGGGTCAGAATATGCTCATTTCTGTGCCTACTTCCATAATCACACTGATTAATTTTTTCAACAAACTGAACTGGCTGCAAAGCAGAAATCTCCACTCTTCTGTGCAGTCCTTGTCTCAGCCTGTTACCACAGACCCAGACAGGCAGAGGTGCTTTCAGACTGTGCAGGTACTATGCCAAGCTCTCCCTGCCTGGCAGCCTGCCCTTCCAAGGCACCACTGGTGGGAGAAGGGTCAGTGCTCCACTCTACCCTGCCCATGGAGAACTGATCTGGTGTCAGGGCTCTGCCTTTCTTCAATGTCACCGATGTTGCACAGATGCTTTCGTGCAGTTGGCAGATGTGGCCCAGGAAAGACATGGAGTGAAACTCTGCAGGAAAGCTGCTTGCAAGTGGTATTAATAGAAAAAACACATGCAGGAGTGATTTGAGTAACTTCACTTCCTTGAGGAGGCAATAGCGAGGCCAAGAAGAAATTCAAAAGTAAAATAAATGATATTGTTAGAGATGTGAAAAAATAGCATCCCCTTCTTTCCTTTCTTCCCCCTCCTTCCTGCCTGCCCCCTCCAGTTTCATCCACTGTTTTGATGGAGACAAATACAAAGTATTTTGTCCGAAATATCCATTAATTGATTTTTCTGCCTTTTTTTTTTTTAAATTTCTTCATAAGAAAATTAATTTTTGTTAGTGACCCCCAAGGCTTCCTAAAAAGAAACTTATGCTATACCCAAAATTTTAAAGAAGAAAAGGACTATTCTGTTTTAGCAGTTATCAATTATCTCAACAATCTATCATCACCAGAATAAGGAGACAAGTTCTCCAAACCAACACTTCAAATGAGTTGGCTGATGTCGAATAACACACAATTTGCACAGCACCTAACTCATGCATTTTCCCAGCTTCTAGAGCTCTTTCCTTGGAAATCATTATGGAAAGTGTTGGAGTAGCAACTTCTGGCATTGACATGTTGCAAAATATCTCCCCAGCAGATTGAAACGCTGAGAAGCTTCCGGCATGTCAGACACAGTAGAGTTTGTCCTATTCTCCTGTTTTTGCAGTGAGAATGCCCTCGAGGCAACTCACAACATCTGCTGTGAACACATGAAATCCTTCCCTTCTCTGCAGCCAGCTTGCCACTGGGTTTGATGGAGCCAAAATATCAGGCTCGTTCAGTGGAGCCAGGCACGGCTCGGACAGACAACAGTGTGAAAATCAGCAAGTCAACAAACTTTCAGTAGGAGGAAAAGGGGAGAATCAAACACAGAAATCAGTGCTGCAATTAAAAAAAAAAAAAGCATATAATATTTTGTTGCACTGCAGAATTTACAGCTGATCAAGCCATAACCCCCAGGCCTCTCCTTTTGATTACTTTGTTTGGATGCCCTTGTGCCACAGTACCTTTTACCTTCTCTCTGGTCAGAGTGGCCAACAGTGTTCTTGGCCATAAAAACCAGGAGAGGGAAAATCACTTGGTGTCTTAGATATTCACTGGCAAGGAAATTGGAAGAGTCTTGAATGGTTACAGGTCTTCATGGCAAGAAAGGATGTTGCAACAGTCACGCTGCAAACACTGTAGTGAATGGAAAAAAAAGCAGCACTGGAAATCTGTTCCCTTATGGATGTTCCAGTTGAGACACAGTCACAATTATTTTAGGAGGGAAAACATCATACACTAAATACATTTATTATTTGGATCTGTTTCTGCTTTGGACAGATTGTGACAATCTTACATAAGCACTCAGTATTAGGACAGTCTGATGTTTGACCCAGATCTGATTATTTTGCAGCACACACAACTGTGCTTCCAGGGGAAGATTCCCCCATGTCAAGTTTCTAAACAGGGTAAATAAAGCCATCTGTTGTGGAAGCAGGATTTTTAAATTATATGCCCTGTTAACCACTGTTTTGCACACTGAGCTATTTGTGTCTAAAGAAACAACCTTATGCCTTTCCAAAAGGAGTTCTGCTCTCCTGATTTACACGTTTTATGGACCAGATATCAAATGTCTAAAATAACTTCTATTCTTCTTACATTTACTTCTATCAGACTGATTTCAATCTTCTCCCTTTCCACTGACCCCTTGTGTTTCTTTCTGCTTCCTACTTTCTCTTGATCTGTATTATAAATATAATTGCAATCAATATTTTATGAAAAGTTTGGTCAGTGAAAGTAATATTTGAAAATATAAATATGTTATACATTTTATATCTAGTAAAGTAATTAAAATATCTCACATGAAAGAGATCTCATCAGCCTCTAGCCCAATGCAAGCCTCTTCTTCTCTGCAGGGATAAGTAAGAAGCACATAAAGGAAGTAAGGGAAAAATTCCATGGTAGGAATGGTTTTTTCCAGACCTTTCAATAAATGCTTAAGAAAAACATTTTTTCCCCCTGGAAAAACTGCATTTAAAGACTCCATTTGTTTATCTAAATTTTGTTGAGTCAGCAAGTGATTTAAATTGCTATTTCCAGGACTGTTTCACTCTGTGCACTCTCTTCAGTCACGAAGAGAACCAGTCCTGGCTACAAAAGAGGAGAGTGAACACAAATTTATGCCACGAATTAGCACATGGAAGGAACACCAAGTGCTGTTTCACCAACCACTTTATCACTTTGGGGGTCCATATGGGTTTCTTTAATAGGGTTTAATATTTGTCCTCTTTTTATTCTTATGGGAAGGGATACAACAGACTAGACACTGATGTCTCCTTAAGGAAATTGGGGCACCATCTGTATTCATGCCAGCTAAAATTCTGCTCAGCTGGCTCCCTTTTTACCTAAGCCTTAGAAAAGTTCAAATATATATATATATATATATATATATATATATATATATATTTCAACTTTTAAATTCTCTTGCACAACTTGATATATATTTATTTATTTCTGCAATGCTGCCTTGTCCTGTTAGTCTACTGCAAGGCTTCCTGGTCCTTGGTGATTTTGGGATTATGAACTCCACCAGTAATGGGATTTGCAAACATGAGGTTAAATCTACAGAGCAGTAGTGTGGCTAACACTCACATGCACTAATATACATAACTAATATACATAACATGCATACATTTCAATAATAGATGTGTTTTGCTGATGTAGAAGGCAGTACTGGATCTTGCATTGCAAACTCTTAACTTTTAGCAGTTTCTTATGACTGAAGCATTTGCTTTGATGACTTTAAAAAATCAAGTACCTGCAGAGAAGACATATAGATCATCTTGTCTATCTTTTAGTAAAGCACAGGATTCCATGTTCACCCTGACACCTCTGTGTTAGAAGTCTCAAACACCCTAATTGGACAGCCTAATTTATGGGGTCTTTTTAATAGTCACAATTGTCATAACACACATCTTCCAGCACTGCCTTGAAGGCAAAGATATGAATAGTTCAAAGGAAACTGGAGCCTGTTTGAATGGTCCATTACCCTTATTGTTTGGAATTATTGT